CAGCCTTCTTGCTGTTAGGAAGCCTCTCAGACTGCCCACATTTTCTTTGGTCCCAATGTGGCCCTATGTTGATCCCTGTCCTCCACAAAGGGCTGGAATCCCAGTCTCTCCAAGTATTCCACATGTCTTAGCTTTCCAAGCCAACCAGTCTCCAGAGCACCATGCAATGTAGGTCTGTGTTCCCAAAGCAGATCTCCAGGGCTGGTTGTTCAGCAGTCCTAGGCTTCCACCCTCTCCCTGCTCGATTTCTCTTCCTCCCACCAGTGAGCTGGGGTGGGGGAATGGCTTGGGTCCTGCTGGCTCAATGCTTTGGTATGTTACCCTGTTTCATGAGGTCTGCTCTGTTCTCCAGGTGTATGCAGTCTCATGCAGCTTTCTATCCTGTTGCTCTTTTAGGATTAGTTGTATTAACTATATTTTCATATTTTATGTGGGTTTGGGAGTAGTTCTCTGTCTCATCTCTCAGGCCACCATCTTGAATCTCAATCCAGTATAAAATCCTTTTTAAAAAACATCAGAAACAAGTTTAAACATGAGTTTATTTAATTGTCATTAGTAAAAAAAAGTCACAGGAGGATTAAACAGATTGAAGGATCGATTCATTCATTCACGAATTTGTTTCTTATATAATTATTGAGGAACTATATGTGGGTGGAGCCATGCTAGATTTTGGAGATGAAACACTGAATAAGATATAGACCTATCTTCATATACCATATGAAGATATATATGGAAGATGTGTATGATATATACTCTTGGAAATTGAAGCAGCCCAGCTGAGGGACATCTCTTCATTTACCTCAGGGTGGAGGGTTCTGGGACTACTTAGTTGGCAATGTCAAATATGAGCCCAAAGGAGTTCATAGCCATTGTCCAGGCAAGGACTGAAGAGGAACCTGATCCAGGTAGGCTAGAGGGGTTAAGGAAAGGAGAGAGAAGGACAAACACAGTCCTATTGTGTCTGGGTATCTTCGTCCGTTCAGGCTCCTGTAAGAATAACCACAGACTGGAGGCTTACAAATAACAGAAATACATTTCTCACAGCTTTGGGGGCTGGGACATGCAAGATCCAGGTGCCAACATGGTCAGGTCTCATGAGCTTTCTTGCTGTGTCCTCACACAGTGGATGGGCAAGGGATATTTCAGGGCCTTTTCCATAAGGGCACTAACCCCAGTCCTGAGGGCTCCACCTTCATGACTTCACCCCCCCAAAGGCCCTGCCTCCTATTACTATAGTCTGTGGGAATTAGCGTTTCAACCTATGAATTTGAGGGAGACTGAAATGTTCAGACCAGAACACTGGGCAAGTGAAGATGGCTCTTCAGGAGCAGGCTTCGAAGTCCTGGGGATTTTGAGGAGGGAAACAATGAGAAGTGAGCTAGAGAGGTAAGCAGGGGCAAGACCAGGAAGGGCCTGGAGGAAAGCCACTGATGCCCTTCGGGGAGATAGCCATGATCAGATGATTGTGTAGAAAGCTCTTCACTTAGCACTGTGGGGAACAGACAGGAGTGGGGGGCTCTGGGCTTTCCTTTCTGGAATCTATGTCAGGCCTCCCATGGCTTTGAGCCCCAGCCTATCTCGTGAGGACTGAAGTGGGCCAGAGCACTCTGTCGGGCCTCCCGTGGCTCTGAGAATGACCTACACCCTTCTGTGTTTGGCAGATGCTACATCACCCTCACACAGTCTCTGCACCTGACCATGAGTGGAGCTCCATCAGGACCTGCAGGAACAGGCAAGACAGAGACCACCAAGGACCTGGGTCGAGCACTGGGCATCATGGTCTATGTGTTTAACTGCTCAGAGCAGATGGACTACAAGGTACAGATCCATCTTTGAGAGGGACTAAGACTAGGTTTATCCATGTCACCTGGCCCAGCTCAGACAGTCAGGTCTCTGTGCCCCTTCCCGGGGGTCCTGGAGGTTCTAGACCCCTGCAAGCTTGTTGACCTCCCTATAAACCTCAGCCCCATGGAAACTGCCTCCACTGATGAGCTTTGGGACCACAGGTGGGTTACCTCACCCCTGGGGTCTTCCTTTTGTCATGCGCAAAATGAAGAAACCAAACCTATACCCAAAAGCCTGCATTCACTATCTGACCTAGAACCACAGAAAGTTTCCTAAGTGGCCAATATAAAATGGTCACATAAAAGTCATTTGTGCTCTTCCCTGAAAGTGGGTATTTCTCTAGAATTTCTCTTAGAGAAAAGTATTCTGTAACGGTAGATTTGACTTCTGACGACAGACTAGATGAACCTCTGCTCCTAACAAGGGATGCCCACGAAAGACAAGTGTGAGGCTAATGTTCTTCATTCAGGCACTCATTATTTTCTTGTTTTAAAAAATATTCCAGGTTCAGCGTCATAGAGAAAAGCAAGAGAAGCTATAGACCCATTAGGTCTCTTATAAGCTGGGAATATTCTATTCAGAACTGGACTTGTATGTAGATTCCTTTTTAAAAACGTGTAAAACAGCTTGTCTCAGTCTCACTATTTTTATTTTGTTTTATTGTACTGTTTTTGTAAACTGAAGTGCCTTTTGAAAACAAGAAGGCATGTAAATAAATTTAGAGTGGAAAACATTGCATTAAATAGGTTATATATTTCTAGATCATGTGATATGTTGATTGATAAATAAAATGTAAAAATAATTTTAGAGACTGCAAGACGATGTGTGCGGTTGCCACATATAGAACTCTTCGAATGTAATTCACCAGCTATAACTTTCATAATTTCTTTCATCTATAAAATTTTGCTGTGGAAAGAGTTGAAGAATCCTAGAGCACCATGTTTTCTCATAGCAAGCAAGCAAAATGAAATTCAGACCCGAAATAGCTGTGTTCCCTGTTGTCTACACACTCTAAAGTTTAACATGTTTGCTTTTAAGATAATGTTTCTTTTTAAATCAGACTGGAGGGAAAAGAATTGTTTCTGCTTTAAGGAAAGAAACAGCCATAAGTATCATTTTAAGTTTCTAGATTCTTCTATAGTTAAGCAATGGCAGTATTACTGAAATAAGTATAGTCTCCCAAGGGGAACATTTTGGAAGACACACTCATTTAGATGTAGAAGACCTGATATATTGATTGAATAAAATCAGCCAGATTGCTTCAAAGTCATACCTAGCATAGCAAATAGGAAGAGATGAGCTGGCCCCGTGACCAAGGGTCACTCAGGCAATTCCACTCAATTTAGTACTGACCCCTGACCCCATCAATTCATCTGAGAGTCCAGGATGAGAGGAGGAGTCTGCCTTTGTTTGTTTGAACTACAATAGGTTTTGGTCATGTGAGTCTAGTCTAGGCACAGCTCAAAGCAAGAACAACAGGCAAAGTCACAGTGAAACACACCAAACGGAAGGTGATTCCTTCCCAGACACCAAACATCCTTTGTAAGCAAACTGCATCACTGAGGTGTTTGCAAACCTCCTCTTCCCTTTGTTGTCTAGCGATTCAGAATATTGTTATCACAAGCTGCGTCTGGCAAGTTAATCTGAGTATCAGCGTTGTTCAGCATGTGTTGGGTGTGATGGAAGGATAGCAAAGATAGATGATAGCTAGATAGATAAATAGGTAGACAGATAGATAGATAATAGATTAGGTAGATGATAGACTCTCTTTTTTTCTTGATAGGTCTGGCTAGGGGTTTATCTATTTTGTTTATTTTCTCGAAGAACCAGCTCCTGCTTTCATTGATTGTATTGTTTTATTCTTCTCAATTTTTTTTAGTCCTGCTTTAATTTTTATTATATCCCTCCTTCTACTGACTTTGAGCCTCATTTGTTCTTCCTTTTCTAGTTTCATTAATTGTGAGTTTAGACTGTTCAGTTGGGATTGTTCTTCTTTCCTGACGTAGGCCTGTATTGCAATATATTTTACTCTTAGCATGGCCTTCATGGCGACCCATAGACTTTGTGTTGTTGAATTATTGTTATCATTTTTCTCCATATATTGCTTGATCTCTGTTTTTATTTGGTCATTGATCTATTGATTATTTAGGAGCATGTTATTAAGCCTCCATGTATTTGTGGGCTTTTTCATTTCTTTGTGTAATTTATTTCTCATACCTTTGTGATCTGAAAAGCTGGTTGGTACAATTTCTATCTTTTTCAATTTACTGAGGTTCTTTTTGTGGCCTAGTATATGATCTATTCTGGAAAATATTCCATGTGCACTTGAGAAGAATGTGTATCCTGTTGCTTTTGGATGGAGTGTTCTGTATATGTCCGTTAGGTCTATCTATTCTAATATGTTGTTAAGTGCCTCTGTCTCTTATTGTCTGTCTGGCTGATCTGTCCTTTGGAGTGAGTGGTGTGTTGACATCTCCTAAAATGAATGCATTGCATTCTATTTCCCCCTTTAATTCTGTTAGTATTTGTTTCACATTTGTAGGTGATCCTGTGTTGGGTGCATAGATATTTATAACAGTTAAATCCTCTTGTTGGACTGACCCCTTTATCATTATGTGTTGTCCTTCTTTGTCTCTTGTTGCTTTATTTATTTTGAAGTCTATTTTGTGTGATACAGGTACTGCAACTCCTGCTTTTTTCTCCCTGTTAGTTGCATGAAATATCTTTTTTCATCCCTTTACTTTCAGTCTGTGTATGTCTTTGTGTTTGAAGTGAGTCTCTTGTAGGCAGCATATAGATGGCTCTTGTTTTTTTATCCTTTCGTGATTGTATATCTTTTGATGGGTGCATTCAGACCATTTACACTTAGGGTGATTATCGATAGGTATGTGCTTATTGCCAATGCAGGCTTTAGGTTCGTGGTTACCAAAGGTTCAAGGGTAATTCCCTTACTATCTAACAGTCTAATTTAACTCACTTTGTGTGCTTTTACAAACAGAACGTAAAGATTCTTTTTTTTCCTCCTTTTTCTTCCTTCTCCGTTCTTTGTATGTTATGAATCATATTCTGTACTCTTTGTCTATCCCTTGGGTGACATCTATTTAGCCTTAGGAATACTTCCATCTATAGGAGTCCCTCCAAAATGCACTGTAGAGGTGGTTTGTGGGAGGTAAATTCTCTCAACTTTTGCTTATCTGAAAATTGTTTAGTCCCTCCTTCAAATTTAAATGATAACCTTGCTGAATATAGTATTCTTGGTTCAAGGCCCTTCTGCTTCATTGCATTAAATACATCATGCCACTGCCTTCTGGCCTGTAAGATTTCTGCTGAGAAGTATGATGATAGCTTGATGGGTTTTCCTTTGTATGTGATCTTTTTTCTCTCTCTAGCTGCTTTTAAAAGTCTGTGCTTATGCTTGATCTTTGCCATTTTAATTATTATATGTCTTGGTGTTGTCTTCCCTGGGTCCCTTGTGTTGGGAGATCTGTGTACCTCCATGGCCTGAAAGACTATCTCCTTCTCCAGATTGGGGACATTTTCAGCAATTATCTCCTCACTGACACTTTCTATCCCTTTTCCTCTCTCTTCTTCTTCTGGTACTCCTGTAATGCAAATATTGTTCTGTTTGGATTGTTCACACAGTTCTCTCAATATTCTTTCATTCTTAGAGATCCTTTTTTCTCTCTGTGCCTCAGCTTCTTTGTATTCCTCTTCTCTAATTTCTATTCCATTTACAGTCTCTTCTACTGCATCTAATCTGCTTTTTAATCCCTCCATTGTATGCTTCATTTCAGGTATGGAATTTCTTAATGATTGAATCTCCAACTTAAATTCATTCCTGAGTTCTTGAATATTTTTCTGTACCTCCATAAGCATGTTTATGATTTTTATTTTGAGCTCTCTTTCAGGCAGATTGGTGAGTTCAGTTTCATTTGACCCTTTTTCTGGGGTTTGTGAGATTTTGGTCTGGACATGTTCTTTTGATGTTTCATATTTCTATGTGGTGCCCACTAGTGCCCAGAATCTCCAGTCTCTGGAGCTGCTCAGCCCCTAGAGTGAGGTTAGGGGGTGTAGGGGAGCCGAGCTGGTGCCTGGGGGGAAAGATCTGTTTCCTGATTCCCATCTGTGTTGCCTGTCTCCACTGTCAGAGCCAGTCAGCTGAGCACACAGGTGTAAAGCCTCTGTGCTTTGTGTCTCTGTTGTAGGCGGGGCCTCCCTCTGACTGGCCAGATGGCAGCACAGTGACAGCCGG